TCAACTCGTCAATGTTGCACGGCACGGAGACCATGGACCATCTAGTAAGGTCGAAAACATGGCATGCTCCCGCTGACATCGCCGTCAGTCAACGGAGAAATCAGCCGGAAATTCCGAGAGATAACAGGTTTCCAACAGCTCGCCAGAGGCAGCTCAATGTGCTGAATTTATCGATGCGTCTCGATATCCCGCATTGTCGCATGTCGATATTGACCTACATTGGATGGATTGTAAGGTCTGACAGGATCGCTTGCCTGCGGCAAATGCCAATGACTTGCGACGGCACGCATGCCGCAATGAAACATCTCGTCCAGCACGGCGTCCTGCTTGCGTTGTGCAGCATCCCTATCTGACGTTCAACCGACACCAACCAGGCAGAGCGCCTCATGCCGGCCAAGCCCATCGAGCGTACACTTTGGCAACCTCATCGCAGAAACCCACGCAGAATTCCACGATTGCTTGCGTAAGTTCAAACGTAATGCTGCGTACTGACTGACATGCATGCCGATCGGCCTGCAATAACCGAGCTCCAAACATTCATCTTCCATGTTCTCGTGCCCGTTTGTCCCAGTATCCCAGTCACTGGTTCGGAGGGTGCTGCAGGACGGTCCAAAAAAGACGACGTCAAGCGCGACTCGTGATCCCAACTACTCGCTGCTCCGGACTCACATCCGTACGACCCCAACAATCTTGGCAACCCTAGGACAGCCAGCATCACGCACCCACACCCGCACAAGCACGCACACAAGGCGAAATCTGACTCGCAGAGGACACAGCCAAGACACAAGAGCACAAGTTTAGGGCAGCTAGGGAGAAATAACGTGAGACACCGTCCAAGATTAAACGTATAGCTCTACGCAGTAGTAGGTGGCACATGCTTGACTACCAGCCACTAGGGAAACGGGAATCAAGCTCCAGTTTCCTTGCGGACCATCCCGTCCCCGTCCCGACCGATAATTTCCCCGGTCTACCGACGCGGCTTCGGTACGGAGGCACTACCTATATTGGACTATACTCCCCGGCAGGCTCGCAGAGTGCTTTTTATCACGTCTGGGCATCATCGTTGAGGTATCCTTTCCTCGGGAGGGGAGGGGTAATCATCGGTCGCTCCAGTTTGATTGAACAACCATATCTCGTTTTCGATGCATGCTATGAACTACGAGACTTTCTCATCGCCTCATGCTTTTCACTTTCCGTCAGCACCGTGTTATCAACCACTGCCCTCAACAGCTCGTCGGGAAGTGTTTAATGCCTCCGAGGCAAGTGCTATAGTGAGAGATGCGATGCTGCCCCATTCGCGTTTCGAAGAATTTACTCCACTTCGGCAAAGAGATTCCTCTCGATAGTGGTTTCCGCCGACCAGTTTTGTGCGGGCAACGTTGCAACCTTCCCCGGACAACCTGCCCTTGGCATACACCTTGTCCAGCTTCCTATCAGGTTCGACTCCCGCAAGCCTAGCGGGGAAGCGGGCAGGTCGCTGCAGGCGTATCGCGGGAAATATTGAAAATGACGATCATCAACTTTGCATATCCGCAGCGTCTCGATACTTGTCAAGAAAATCGGCGCATATTGAAGAGCTTTTGTTGTTGTCATTGCTATTTGCTGGGGAACCCTGCCTTTGACCACCGGGCGATGATCTGGGCGGCTTGGATCTCAACGACACTGGCTGGCCTGGCTCCCTTCAACGGGGAGAAGTCCTAGTAATTTGACTATGTTATTTAGATCATCTGCTACCGACTTTGGATCCGTTAGCACACGGGCTGCTGTCGCGAGTACACTGGCCTCGAAGAGCTTCGGATGGACGTTTGTACTTTGAATTCTAATTATTCCCCTTGGTTCACTTCATCCCGCCCAGCCAACCAGGTCCAGGTGTTCCAGGAAGCAAAGACGCCTGAACGCCATAACAATGCGAGCATCCCTCTATCGGGCCCTCCCATTTCTTCCCAAGTGCTTTTTTTTGGCCACTTCTCTCTGCCCTTTTGTCTTTTTTTCATCCTCGTCACACCCTCCGACCTCGAATCCACAGGTAACGTCAAGTGGATGAGGGTGGGAGTTTCCACCACCTCTCGTTGGCAGATTCCTGGGAACTACACGCATTCGCATATTGCCATTTTACCAACATGCACACAAACACCCCCCCTGGTAGTTTGCTACCAGCCCATTTCCTTTTGTCTTCCTCTCGGCCAGCTGGTCGTCCATCTTGCCTTGCTGGTTTTATAGGGCCCGAAGCATATCCTTTACGATCGCTCAAGCGTACGTGCGGGACAGGTTGCGGAGGTACCAGTCGACCAGCTTGCGGCCAACCTTGGCTTCCGAGATGTGGATCAGATCCTAGAATGTGATGATTAGCATGTTACTATGGTAACAAGCAGCTCGTGTTGGAAGCTGCAGTTTCTCGGAATTACTTACACCCTGCATAGCGTAGTCCAGGTCGCTGACGTTGATGAGGTCGCCGTCCAGCAGGCTGGGGTGGTCAGTCCAGCGCAACTGCTTGGTGCGCTGCTTGTTGACGAGGAGCCAGGAGCGGAGCTCATCGGGCTTGACCTCGAGGAAACCGGCCAGCTTGTTGAGGTCCATGGTGGTGTAGAGGCGGAGGTAGGACTTGACGGTGGGGCTCATCATGTTGATCTTCACCTCCTCCATGAAGACGGCGAGGTGGTGCTCGACGGGATCGATGTTGGACTCGGGGTTCTCAAAGTCTGGGGGCACGGGGGAGATGAACTTGGGGCAGGCGGAGCGGAAGAGCTCCTCGAAGATGGGGAGGGACTCGGGGCCGCCGCGCTGGAGCTTGAGGAGCTGGTCGCCGTACTTCTCGCGGAGGGCGGAGTGGATGGTGTCGTCGAGGCGGGTGGGGTGGAAGGCGACGCAGATGGCGATGAGGGCGTACATCTGGTCGTTCTTCTTGGTGATGGAGTCGTACTGGGCGTTCTTTTGGAAGTTCTTTGTGCGGGAGACGTAGACGAGGATGTGGGAGAACATCTTGATGGCGTCGGCGTAGCGGTGCATCATCATGTAGGAGAAGCCGACGTAGTAGTAGGTGGTGAAGTGGGCGGCCATGACGCGGGCGAACATGGCCTTCTTGTTGAGCTCAATGTCGTCGAGGGTCTTGAGGGCGAGGCTGAAGTCGCCGAGGAGGCAGTGGACGCGGAGGAGACCGATGATGGAGAAGTAGCCCAGCATGCGGTAGAGGTTCTTGGAGCCGTACTCGCCCGCGACGGCCATGGGGTCCTCGTTGCGGCGCATGGCGGCCAGCTGCTCGGTGATTTGGGAGCGCTGGATGAGGGAGTAGAGGACGTTGAGGACCGAGTAGCAGCCCCAGGTGTTTGGGTTCTCCTTGAGGACCTGCATCTCCTCCTCGTTGTTGCCCTGGCGGGCGATGCGCATGCGGTAGGACGAGAAGGAGTTGAACTGGTAGATGAACTCGTCGATGACGTCCCAGGCCCAGTAGTACTAATTGAAGACATGTTAGCTTTCCTGGTCCACGTGTGGTGATGCTAACGCGACGGCATAGCTTCGGGTGGAGACAGAAGCAAGGAGTCTATGGGAAGCTTACCGAAGGGGGCTCGAGGTCGACGGGACCCTCGCTGTTGAGGATGAAGTGGAACAGGCTGCAGTAGGAGTCGTAGCTCTGGAACTTGACCTCGAGGGGCGCGGAGAAGTCGAGGGGCTGGGCGGCGGCGGCGAGGCGCGACTGGATGTCGTCGGTCTGCTGGGCCATGGTCAGGGAGTTGACCTGCTCGAGGTCCTCGCCAATATTGTCCTCATACTGGACCTGCTCCTTGTAGTCGTTGACGAGGGCCTCCTCCTCGACGTCGCTGTCGTCGTCGACGCGGACGGGCCGCTCTCCGTTTTGATAGCCGCTCATGGTGGGTGGATTTTCCGGTGAAGACTATTCCCACACGAAGATGTGTTAGGAATAGAAATTGAAAAATAGAAAAAAAAATTGACGAAGGTTCCGAAAGAGGAAGGGCGCGCGAAAAGTTGGCGATGTCTTCAACCTTCGAAGGGGAGTTGGGAGGACAGATGGGCGGTCGGGTCGGAGGGGGTTCGCTCGAGAGGTGTGGGGTTTTCGGGCGGACGAGTCGAAAATTTCCTTTTCGCTGGCTAATCCCGCGGGGGCTTTTGCTGAGGTTATCACAGGCACCGTTTGGGTTTGGGCGAGAGGGGCCAGTGAATTTTTGGCGAGTTAGGGTTTGTTGCACCCTCGGTAGAGCGATGTGTGGGGATGAAGCCGGTGGCTAGCCTTGGGTTGTAGGTAACGGAGTTAATGCAACTATACGGCTGTAGAGGGGTTCTGGTGGCCTTTTTTTTTTTTTTTTTGGTCGATGCGTCGTTGGAGGGGTTGAATGTATCTTTTGGCGGGGTTAGTCCGCTGAGGTAACTCCAAGGTTGCCTGTGCCTGCCCTGGAGGACATTCCCCCCTCCTTCCCCAAGAGACGAAGGAAGAAAAAGAGTTGCATAGACACACACGCTATACAACATTACTCATCACTACACCAGTCTGCTCGGTGCATCCACCTCATATTCTGTGGGATAATATCAACCTCCCAATACACACTCAGACTCAGGCAATACCAAGGACAAGAGTCAGATTTACCCTCGTCCGTGCAAAACTTCTTACAGCAGAGTGGCGAATCAGAGCCGTCTTTACGTCCTGCTTCTGACCTGGACTCCCAATTTGGTTCGGCCTATTAGTCACAGACCAGGGCCAGTTTAGTCGCCGAATCATCATCATCAACTTACTCAGGTACTCGCTACTTCTGCCAAAGACCTCCCCAGTCAATAACGACATCACCTGCCTCGGGCAAACAACGATACTCAGCAGTGCAGCACTGGCTTTCATATACCAGCCAAGGGAGGGAGGCATCACACAGACCTTCAAACCTGCTTTCTCATTCACTCTGCTTCTTTCATCTGGCATTGCTTTCTGTCCATAGATCTTTTGATACCCCCTTGAACCCCTCATCTGCCACTCTTCCTTCATCACATATCCGCCCATCATGCCTGTTGTAACTCCCGACAAGCTGGCTAGCCTGCAAAGGCATGCCGTGGATGTGCGCAACGTAAGTTCTCACCTCATCATCATCATCACACAATTCTCTCAGTGACTGACCGCAACCAGATCTGCATCCTGGCCCACGTTGATCATGGCAAAACATCACTGACAGACGCCCTTTTGGCAACAAACGGCATCATCTCACCCAAACTCGCCGGCAAGATCCGGTACCTCGACTCTAGACCTGATGAGCAGCTCCGAGGCATCACCATGGAATCCTCCGCCATCTCCCTCTACTTCTCCATGCTGAGGAGATCCGCACCCGACGCCGAGCCCGAAGCCAAGGAGTACCTCATCAACCTCATCGACTCGCCCGGCCACATTGACTTTAGCAGTGAGGTCTCCACCGCCTCACGCCTGTGCGACGGCGCCGTCGTGCTCGTCGACGCCGTCGAGGGCGTGTGCAGTCAGACCGTGACCGTCCTGCGCCAGACATGGACCGAGAAGCTCAAACCCTTGCTCGTCATCAACAAGATTGACCGACTCATTACCGAGCTCAAGATGACGCCTGCCGAGGCCTACACTCATCTCAGCAAGATTCTCGAGCAGGTCAACGCCGTGCTGGGAAGTTTCTTCCAGGGCGAGCGCATGGAGGAGGATCTCAACTGGCGCGAGCGGATGGAGGAGCGCGTCCAGGCGGCGGCTGCCAAGGAGGCTGGCCTGGACTCCATGACCGAGTCTGGAGAGCTTCAATTTGAAGAGCGCGATGACGAGGATCTCTACTTCGCGCCGGAGAAGAACAACGTCATTTTCAGCAGCGCCATTGACGGCTGGGCGTTTACAGTGCGCCAATTTGCCGGCTTATACCAAAAGAAGCTCGGCATCAAGAGAGATGTCATGGAAAAGGTGCTATGGGGCAGCTTCTACCTCGACCCCAAGACCAAGAAGATTCTAGGCCAGAAGCATCTCAAGGGGAGAAACCTAAAGCCCATGTTTGTGCAGCTGGTGCTGGAGCCTATCTGGACCGTCTACCAAGCCACCGTCGGCGGCGACAACAACAGGGGCGACCCAGCGTTGCTGGAGAAGATTACAAAGTCCCTCGGGCTGACTATCCCGCCACACATCATGCGCTCCCGAGACCCCCGCCTACTCCTGACCACGGTCTTTGCGTCCTGGCTGCCGCTCTCGACGGCCATGCTGGTTTCCGTCATCGAGTCCCTGCCATCACCCCCAGTCGCGCAAGCCGAGAGACTGCCCGAGATGCTGGAAGACGTCCCCGGCTCAGATGCTATCAACGAAGAGATCAAGAACGCCATGATCTCCTTCAAGACCGGCCCTTCGGACCCCGTCGTGGCCTACGTTAGTAAAATGGTTTCTGTCCCCGAAAGCGAACTCCCCCACAACAAGCGCAAGCCAGGCCAGTTGACCGCCGACGAGGCGAGAGAACTCGCCCGTAAGAAGAGAGCGGAAGCGGCTCGCGCCCAAGCCGCGGCACCTACCAGCGGAAACGGAATCAACGACCTTACGACGGCGCTCGAGGAGGTCAACCTGGACGGCTACGCTCCTGAGCACGAAGAGAAAGAAGTCGACCCCGAGCACCTCATCGGCTTCGCCCGCATGTACTCGGGCACTCTCTCCGTCGGCGACAGCCTCTGGGTCATCCCTCCCAAATGGTCTCCCGCCAACCCTAACGCCCAGCCCTCGCCGAAGCAAGTCACCGTCACGGCGCTCTACATGCTCATGGGCCGCAACCTCGAGTCCCTAGACTCCGTCCCGGCAGGCGTCGTCTTCGGCATCGGTGGCCTCGAGGGCCACCTCCTCAAGAACGGCACCCTCTGCAGCCGCCTCGACGGCGCCGTCAACCTCGCCGGCGTGGCAGGTACATTGGGCAAACCCATCGTCCGCGTCGCCCTCGAGCCCGTCAACCCGGCCGATCTCGACAAGATGATCCACGGCCTCCGCCTCCTCGTCCAGTCCGACCCCTGCGCAGAGTACGAGCAGTTCAGCAGCGGCGAGCACGTCCTTCTCACCGCCGGCGAGCTGCACCTCGAGCGCTGCCTCACGGATCTCAAGGAGCGCTTCGCCCGCTGCGACATCCAGGCCGGCGCCCCCATCGTGCCCTACCGCGAAACCATTGTCCGCGCCGAGGAGATGCGGCCCCCCGCGAATGAGGACCTCGGCCGCGGCGTCGTCGTCGGCACCACCTCGTCCAAGCAGGTCTCCATCCGTCTCCAGGTCCGTCCTCTGCCGTCCGACGCCACGGACTTCCTCCTCAAGAACGGCGACGTCATCAAACGCATGTACTCTGATCGCACACCCGCCACCAACAACACCACGGCCGAAGAAACCCAGGGTACTGAAGGCACAGGCGCCACCGCCGCCGGCGAAGAAAAGATCGATGTCGACACAGACCTGACAGCCGCAAAGACAATGTCCCTCGACGACTTCAAAACCGGCCTCCAATCCGCCCTCGAATCCTCCCGCGGCGGCCGCGAACACTTCAAATCCGCCATCGACCGCATCGCCGCCTTTGGCCCCCGCCGCACCGGCCCCAACATCCTCATCGACGCCACAAAAGAAGGCCTCCTCGCAAAGCTCTTCTCCCAGACGGCCTCCTCGGAACGCGACGGCTCAGCAGCACCCCAAGCAGACGAAGCCCTCCACCCGGCCCACGTAGCCGACAAAATCCCCTACGCCTTCCAGCTCGCCACGGCCCAGGGCCCCCTCTGCCACGAACCCGTCCGCGGCATCGCCGTCTTCCTCGAAGACGTCGTCATCAACCCCACCGAAGACGAATCCTCCGCCCGCGACCGCCTCCCCCGCCTGACGGGCGAAATCATAAAGACCTTCACGTCCTCCCTCCGCTCCGGCATGCTCGACTGGTCCCCGCGCCTGATGCTCGCAATGTACACCGTCGAAATCCAAGCCTCGACGGAGGTCCTGGGCCGCGTCTACGACGTGCTCACCCGCCGCCGCGGGCGCGTCCTCTCCGAGGCGATGAAGGAAGGCACGCCCTTCTTCAGCATCAACTCTGTGCTACCGGTGGCCGAGTCGTTTGGCTTCGCGGACGAGATGCGGAAACGTACGTCGGGCGCGGCGCAGCCGCAGCTTATTTTCGCGGGGTACGAGGTGCTTGACCAAGATCCCTTTTGGGTGCCGTTTACGGAAGACGATTTGGAGGATTTGGGCGAGTTGGCGGATAAGGAGAATGTGGCCAAGAGGTATATGGATGGCGTGAGGAGGAAGAAGGGGTTGTTGGTTGAGGGTAGGAACGTTGCTAGGGATGCGGAGAAGCAGAAGACTCTCAAGAGGTAGTGTGTTGTCGTGGGTTCGGGGAATGTGGTTGGTGGTTTAGCATGGATGTTGGTTTTGGTAGAGATAGCGTGTGGATAATTGGGGAAACAAAAGGATATAAAATACTCGTCACTCACTTCTTTCAACCATACCTATTCTTGTGAATTTCCTCACTCTCCGTCGCCCCCCTCAGAGTGGGTGCCTTGTAATGAGGCATCACCTCACCCATCAAGACAGCAGCAAACATCGTGAGAACATCACCTACCACTGACACCTACAGCCACGACTAGAGAAACAATCACATATTGTATACTTTTGTATTTCAATTCCCTTGCCTATCATCTATTTTGCCCGCCTCACACGCTTCATCAGGGGGAGGTCCAATGTCAACATCTCCCATCACCCACTCCACGACAGCAGTCAAAACCATGTCAATCGTCAGACCCATCATACGTTCATTTTAAACCACCACACACCCTTGGTAGCAAAGAAGAAAAGAATATGAGCCAGCTCGCCATCATTTTTTGGTATCGAATGGGGGTCGTGGTAGATGAGTTGAGAGGGAGAGCACGACCAAGGGGAGAAAAGGAAGGAAGCGGACTTGCGGAATAACAGTTTACGAGCGTGAATAATCATCAAGGAAACGTGAACAAGCCATCCGTCTGGAGGAGTAATTTCATAACTCGGGGCGAATCATCTATCGTTGCACGCAAAACAAGGAGGGGAGAAAGAGGCGGGAAAACAGAAAGTAGAACTTTGGTTGAGAATTTTTGTGTTTGGATTCCTTTGAAGCTCCTTGTTGTGACTAAGAGCTGAGTTGAATCCTGGCGGATCGGTATGGTAGGTAGGACTGTTACTTCGCTGGATCCCCAAGAACCCCTTGGGCAATGAAGGGTCTCGGGGATACAGCAGAGGAGAGAGGAAACAAAGGAAAAGTGAGCGAGAATAAAAAAACAACATGGTCATGAGCCCCCTTTTTCTTCCAACTTCCATGAGCCCTTTTTTTAGTAACCACTTCGCAAACTCCGATGAATGCGTGCGAAAGTGCGCGCCTTCTCCAGTCGTTGAGCCGAGGAGACCTATCTTGCCCTAGGATGATGGCAAGCCACCTGAGCCAAAGACCGCAGAGGGTGCTGAGTAAAATAGGAAAGCTTTTGTTTCCTTCAGCAGATCCATAGTGAGCCAGTTATTGTCGTGTCGAAAAGCAAAGTATCGAAATAGAGAATCCATGCCCTTCAAGCCCCAAGTAAGCGGTTCGTGGCGTAAAGTCGTTCGTCAGAATCGTATTCGGAGTCGTCTGGGTATATGTGATGACGAGAAATATCGTCTAGGCCCCGCAAGCAAACACGTGGGAGCATCTTCTCGGCGATAATTGCCGACTCAACTGCGGCCTTGACCGCACTGGGTCCAACCGGACGCTGAAGGATAAACGGACTGTGCACGCCCACCTCCTAGGCAGTGCCACGGGGTCCAACATTGCGACGGCCCTTGTTGGGGACCGTGGTCCAACCATCGTCCTCCACGGGGGCAGCATCGCCAGACTCACTGCCAGCGGCAGCCGGAGCCTGCTTCTCGGCAGGGCCGTTGGAACGAGGAGGGCGGCCTCCCTCGAATCGGCCACCACCACGGGGTCCACCACGTCCACCTCTGGGTCCGGTAGGGGCACCACGGGAGGCACCAGATGATCTCCAGCTGTTGGCCTCAGCAGCGCGAGACTTGGGGGCGGCTTCCTTGGGCTCTCTTGGCTCCTTGGCTCTGACAGGGATCTTCTGCTCCTCAGATGTGCCATTCTCCTTGTCGGCAGCAGTCTCCTGGGCGACCTCCTCCTTAGGAGCCTCAGCGGCCTCCTTCTCGGCCTTCTCCTTGGCAGCGGCCTCTTGCTCGGCCTTCTCCTCGGCTTCCTTAGCAGCGGCCTCCTTGGCAAGGCGACGCTCCTCCTTGGCCTTCTCCTCGGCCTCGCGCTTCTCCTTGGCCTGTTGCTGCTTCTTCTCCTCAATCAGGCGCTCCTTTGCGGCAGTGTCGATGGGACGGGCAGCACCGAAGGGGCTGGCCTTGGAGTCAGTTCCGGAGGGAGACGTGACGTCGGGAGCCTCGGAAACGGTGCGCTTCGCCAAGTTCAACTTGGGACGGCCGACGGGAGCGGCGGGGGCGGCTGAAGGGGAAGAAGGCGCCTCGCTGCCGTCGCGGGACTGGGCAGCATCGGGACGCATCTTGGTTCTCCACTGGCTGTCGGTCTCGGCGGCAGTGGGGACTCTCTCGGGGCGGGGAGGACGGGAGTCTTGGCGGGGTCCCTGACCCTCACCCCAGGCGGCGGGGGACTGGCGGCGGTCGCGGAACTCGCGGGGTCCATCGTTGGTACGGGGACGGCTGCCATCGCGGGAGCCAGAGCCCTCCTTGGGAGCAACGGGGGAAAGGGGGCCTCTGCGCTCCCAGTTGCCAAAGTCGCGGACCTTTCCGTCGTCCTCACGGGGCTCGCGAGGCTCACGGGGGCCACGGCGCTCGCCAAAGTCGGAGGGGCGACGATCGTTTCCACCACGTCCAGGCAAGTCGGGCAGGGGACCCTTGCGAGACCAGTCGCTGAAGTCGCGGTTGGATTCGCCGTCACGGTTACCACCACGGGCTGTAAAAAGTGTCAGCAGTCAACTTGAGGATGGCCTCTGGATATGTACTCACGAGGATCGGCAACCTTGATTCTGATAGCACGTCCCTGGAAAGTCTGGCCATCCAGAGTCAAAGCCTGCTTCAGTCCCTCGAGATCCTTGAACTCGGCGTAGGCGAAGCCCTTGGGGCGCTGCTGCTCGCGGTCCTCGATGATGCGGACGCTAATGATGTCGCAGCCCTCGAAGAACTCGTTGACGGTCTCCTCGGTGGCATCGTAGGACAGGTTGCCGAGGTGGGCGGTGTAGGGGGGTCTCTCAGGGAGCTGCTGGGGAAGGTTCTCGCGGATGGAAGAGTAACCACCGTAGTCTCCTATACACTGATTAGAGTCATCTCATTTCCAACTATTCGAGATAGACTTACTGCGCTCGGAACGGTCACCACGGTCACCGCCGCCGCTACCCCAGCCACCTTGGCTAGGACGGTAGCCAGCGCGCTCGGGAGCGGGGAGAGCCTGAGTGCCTGTGAAGGTGTCAGTAGGTAAGAAACGAAATACATGCGGCGCCAGGCTGGCTCGTGGGAGTGTGGCATACCGGCTACAAGATGTTAGCATCCTCTTCCAATAAGATGTTTCTGAGGCAGCATTAACTTACTGTACGTATCCTCGACCTCATCAGCCCATGATCCGCCGTAGCCTGTACAAAGTGTCAGTCGATGATGTACTAATCCGGTAGTCGAGCAACAGATGAAGTGGGCAGTGGTAGTTGTCGAGGGAGCGTTTGTATCAGGAGGTATCGGAGGGGGTGCGACTGACTGGAGTCCTGCAGGAAGTCGCCAAGGGCCATCTTGACCTGCTCCTTCTTCTTGGGCGCTATGATGACACAGTTAGTCTTGGTGCAGGCGAGAGACGTCGCAGCAGCTTGCGACAGCGAGCAGGGTAGGACGAACCCATGATTGCGGTGTTGAGACGGCTTCGCGCGTCGACTATGTTCGATGCGCGATGCGGGGAGTATGTAGTAAGAGCCGAACGGTACGGCTGTTGGTTGAAGATGCGGGTTTGGTGGGAGTGTTGGTGCGGAGAGGATTGGAAATGTCCGAGGGATATTTCACAGTGTCGTGGGGTAGGGAGACGTCGCCTAAGGAAAGGGATATCTCTTGACACCGGAGATGGAAGAAGTCTTTTTCAGACGATACGTCAGAGGGTATCGGAGACGTAGGAGACTTTTGTGAAAAACGGCCCAGCTTGCGGTGATTTGCTGGGGCTGGTGGTCTTTTGGGGGGGAAGGAAAGGGTCGAAGTTTTACCCGCGCAGCAGAGAGGCAGAGGGTGATTGAAAGTTTGTGAGGGTTGGACAATTTTCTCGAGGTGGCCAGGAGTGGGAGGCACTAGCCCCGCCGCGGCTTAGCTTACTTTTTCAACCTAGCGCCCCGCCAAAGACGCACGGGCCAGGACCACCGGGAAAACCCGTGATTGAACAATTCCCATTATGAAAGAGGGGCTCACAGCTGTTTTTTCCCTCTTTCTGAGCCCAGTGCTTCCAGTGACTTCAGCGGGGTGAGCCTCGAGGCCTCAGCGTTTTTCCCGCCTGTGTTTCCCCCTCTATCCCTCCCGTGCAGCACCATCCATTCATCATTTCCCCTGCCCACCGCCCTGTGCTTAGCTGTGCTGTGATGTGCCACAGGTGGCCCCTTCACTGCTGTTGGTACCTCAGCACCTTAGGTAAGTTAGCTACGAAAGTACGTATACAAGGTACAAGCTTGAGATCATCAACCTGGAAGGAGAAAAAAAAGTGAATGATGTGCGCCTGCAGTTGACAATCACCCCCGCCTTTCTTGCATCTATCGGGTCTGCACGGTCCATTCTCGTTTTGAGCCGCACGAAACATTTGAACAACGTCGCCAACTCGCTTGATCAGTACTCCCCCGTTTAATGCATGTATTGCACCCTTGCCCAAAGCTTCCAGAACAACCGACATATCTGATCGGGTCCATCGACTATAAGCCACCTCATTGTCATCTTGTTCCGCTGCAAAACGATCTTTTAGTCCTTCGTCATGTCAGATGAGGCGAGGAGGGATGACACAGAGGAGCCCAGACCAAGGCGGCAGCCTCGAGGTTTGCTGCCACCAGGGTTGGTCGACGTCTTGGGTCCGCCCCTGAAAGTTGGTGCCATGACTGGTAAGTAAGGACATCGGAGATGGGAACCCATCAGATTGATCATCTGAGGGCTTTCTGTCTCGTCTCGATTCAGGTTGCACTTGTATGGCTAACATCTCCGACAGGTACCATCGGTGTGTTCAGTGGCATTGCCGCCGGCATTATCCGGGACTCCACACCAGCTCTGTTCGCGGTAGCATCTGGTATCCAGTGGTTCGCCCTCGGCTCAAGTTACTGGCGTATGTTGCCGTAATTCTCATCTTCCTCATGAAGGCGTGTTGACAAATTTGCGACAGTCTCGAGATCTGTGGTGATGGCCGCGTGGGGCGGCGAAGAGAAGCTCTCCAACTCATCCAAGATTCAAGCAAGTGCCCTTGCGGGAGGCACGGCAGGAATGGTCGGAGGACTGATTCGTGAGCATTCCTTTTTGCTAAGATATTGAAAGTCTCTAACGCGCTCATTAGGTGGCCCGAAAAACATTATCCCCGGAGTCATCGTGTTCTCCCTCATCGGCGGAACGGGCCAGGCCTTTGTGAACGCATCGCAAGGAAGACCCGAGGTCACGGAAAAGAGGAAGAGCATCTTCGAATCAAGTTGGAGCCCCCTGAAGAAGCTTTCAGACGACGACTACCGCGACATGATTGATGAAAAGATGCTCAGGATAGACGCCGAGATTGCTCTCATTGACGAAAAGATTGTAGAGCTTCGCGCGGCAAAAGCAGCAGCTCCTCAGCCGCCCCCAAATGACGCACCGCAACCACCAGATGCTCGATAGTCGAGCATTGCATCTGTTTAATCACCATGTATAACTCTGTCAGCATTACAACTGTAAATTGTACCAACAAGCAAGACCGCATTTATGCTTTTTTCACAGACGAGCGTTTCCAGACTCGTATTGAGGAGCCAACCCTTCCCAAATGTACTAACATCCGTGCTGCATCCATTTCGTTCATCGCGTAACACCAGATGAAGATCTTGAGGAGTGTCAGATGGAGTTGCACCCAATTCAAAGGTACCCCTAGCATTATGATCATGCTGACGTTGATTGGCCAGACATGCATGCAACCTAGCCTCACGCTATTGGATACGTCTTCCAGAGTGAGCAGCCGCGGCTCAAACGCTTCTCTCACATCAGCAACGGAGCCGCTACGCAACAAGCATTTCCAGATGTCAGGAACTTTGTCGTCAATCGATGTATACATAAACGGCACGCTATGAGGCTAATTAACACCTCAACACTGCAACTCGAAGACTTCTTCGACTCGGATCTCCCCAAATACGCCATCCTCTCACACACCTGGGGCCCCGAAGAGGTCACCTTTCAAGAGTGGCTGCTATGGCAAGAAGACGACCTCGGCTCCCGCAAGCGCACAAACTCCAAGCGCGGGTTCCAAAAGATTGCAAACACGTGCCGCATCGCCCGTCAGGAGGGCATCAGCCACGTCTGGGTCGATACCAACTGCATCGACAAGAAGAGCAGCGCCGAGCTCTCCGAGGCCATCAACTCCATGTTCGCCTGGTACCGCGGCGCGTCCATCTGCTACGTCTACCTGGAAGACCTCGAGCCCGGCGGGGCAGCGAGGGCCGATCTGCGTCAGTGCCGGTGGTTCACGAGGGGCTGGACGCTACAGGAGCTGCTGGCGCCCGCGGACATGACCTTTTACGATGGCACGTGGGAGCCCATCGGGACCAAGGAGACACTGGCGTACCCCATCGCTTCCATCACGGGCATCGACGTCGACGTCCTCATCTACCCGCAGACCCTCTCCTCCGCCTGCGTCGCCAAGAGGATGTCGTGGGCGTCCAGCCGGCAGACGACGCGGACCGAGGACACGGCGTACTGCCTTCTCGGCATTTTCCAGATTCATATGCCTCTTCTCTACGGCGAGGGCCACGAGGCCTTTCGCAGACTACAGGAAGAAATTATGAAGGTCTCGACGGACCAGAGCCTCTTTGCGTGGGACTGGACCGAGAAGACGATGGACCCCCGCCGCGACCTCTGGGTCACTCTACTGGCGCCGCATCCCTCTGCGTTCTCCGGTTGTGGGCAGGTCGTCAAGTGCAGGACCGCTGCGGACGACAACTGGTCCGTGGGAAAGGAATTCACAATGACGAACTTGGGTTTGAGCATGACGCTGCCACTCATCAAGACGACATCCTCGACAACGGTGTACGCGGCCATCAACTGCAGGCACGATATCAAGGACCACGACGACACGGTCATCTGTATCCCGCTCTGGACCACGTCCTTCACGTCGACGTTTGGACGGCACAGGTCGAGACCGCAGGCAAACCTGCCGATCCCGCTGGCTAACGTATCGATGCCCGCCCGGTATGCTGCTCGCCGCCAACAGCAGCAGCAATCCGGTCGCGGTTCTTCAGCCTCGGTGTCATACTTCCCTCGCTTCTCGGAGCTGCCGGGCTTCAAGATGTCAAGATCCTTTCACAAACAGGTTCTACCAGTGTACGATGCTAAGCCGGACAAGCCACCAGAATTACTCTTCCAGCTATTTTCCTCTAACGACGCGTTGGAGTCGTGGCAGGTGGGCGACGACGCGGAGGCTGATCCGCAGGAGTACTTACAGACGGCGGCGCACGCGAGCAAGACGTTTGCGAATAAGGAGGTGCACGCGTTCTGTGTGAATCTCGTCAACCACGGCGGCGGCAGCAGCAGCACTAGTAGCAGTAGTAATGGCAGCCGTAACGGCAACGGCGCCGGGCTCAGCAGGCCGCGGCGATGGTGTCTCATCATCATGTGGTGCGAGGCGTCCGGGTGGAAGAGGGTATTCTTCCGGGAGGACAAGGGTAAGAATCTTTCGCCGCCGCACGTGAGGAAGCGGTTCATGGACTTTCTGCTCGAGACGTCGTGGTTTGCGTTGCATGGGGATACTGCGACGTGTGATGGGTTAAAGGTTGAGGTCGGGATGAAGCATGATCCTCCGCGGGATGGGTATTGTCCGGTCGTGCCATTGTATTTTGATAAAGACCATTAATTAGATCGATTCAACCGCGTTGATGTGAAGACGGGGAAAAGAAGACTGGACGTTCAGCTAGCTAATATGAGTAGGTAGCTACGACGGCAGATAGAGATGTCATGCCGCTGGAGCTAGAGTACTGTCGGGCATGACTCGATCTTGGATTCGCCATGGGCTTGTCATGTAGCTTCGACGTTGGCTAGCTTAGTCCCTTGGTAGCTCCCGATGTTCTAACGGTCGGGTTTGCTTGACGGGCTGGATATTTGGTAATTAGGAGGAAAACATATGTTTCGAGATTCTGCATGTAAATGATGTACCGGGAGACAGTCACAGACCAGACTTTGATCCATAATCCTGGTCCCTTGAATGCGGCCCAGAGATTGTCCCAAGGCACGTTCGAGCTTGGCTAGATCTGGGTGAGGGGAGGCTGAAATTCACAATGCGGGTAGGAAAGGGTCCTGGTCCTTGCACGTATCTATGCGCCCTGTCGTGCTCACTCATCGAGACAATATCTCGGTCTGCGATACAAGTCTCTGCACATGAGTTCCTCGTAAGTCCGATGGCTTACATCATAATAGCACGTTCAGAAAGGAACGATACTGGGGAGGCGCGCTTGCTGCACGTGCTAGAACCATGGAGCAGCCCTTAGCTTCGGCGATATCAAGGGCAAGGGGCGGACAATCAGGTACAGGCACAGGCTCAATAGTTTGAGGCGTAATGCGATGGTACCGTCCGATGCAGCGGCGCATTGATGGTTGAACTTTGAGCTCGGCCCCTCATTGATGCAAGTGTTTAGTGTAAGTGATGCAAGTAATTGTTGAATTCAAGGTTGATGGAAGAGGATCTCCGATGAGCTGCATTTGCACCTGGGCGGCTGGTACCACGAGGTGGCTGGCAGGTAAGGTGGATACCAGGCGAGTGGGAGTTCCCACTTTAAGAGACGGATGAGCCAATGGAGACTGGGCAAGGCCGGAAGTGGCCGAGGGTGGGATCTGGATCGATTGGACGGGGGCTCGGGAGTGAAGGAGCCATAACTCCGGGCCGTTGTACTTATGCGTATACGTACCCTTCCTTAGCTAAGCAAGGTCTTAGGTATTTGTTTGACAACCGGACGCATTCCCACTCCACCACGTCTCTTCCCTCGATATGCACCATGACATATTTCCTGTCATAAAATAACTAACTTAGAGAGAAACTACATGACTACCTACCATCATGTTTCAATGGCCATCAATGAGAGTGGATGAAATGCTGACCATGACTTCATTTCCACCCGCCAAATTCCCCAACAGCCCTGTTCCTGGATTCCGCCGCCCCCGTCCGTCCCTGTGCAATCCCAAGCCAAGCTCAGACCGAACCGTGCTTGTCCCCATTCTGTCTAGACCCGAGTCTTACCAATCGTTCCTGTCTCTGGTCATCGCACTAATTACCAGTAATAATTGTGGCTAATGGAATTCATTTGTGTGTATCCGTACTCTTTCCAAATGGGTAGGTATTGCTCTGAGCTTGACTAGGTATCTCAGCAAGCTTAAGGTACCTATGTACATTTACCTACCTTAGCTGAGGTACGCCATCGCGCTGTTTATCGCCCACAAGCCCCATTGCATCTCATCATTATTTGAGCTATCCGATCATCCGGGCCACTCCTCACACACACCCACACACGGACGAGACAGGTACGAATACTGCACCGCTGCTCCGGTGCCCAGGAGTCGGAAGTACCCCATTTTCTGGAGGGAAGAAGACTGGAGACTGGAAACTGGAGCACCTCGGGAATAGGAGCAATCTACTATTACTCTTGTCATCCAGAACCGGCGGCAGGGTTCCGTGTGGACAGCCGCCGCCGCCTCGTGCCGAGCAATAAGAAAAGGACAAGGGCTTAGACGAACGACGTCTTCTCGCATTTCGCCAACCGCAAATCTCAACCGCGAGTCCCAATTCCTCCGCCAATTCCTGGCTCATACCTGGGCACTCCGTAGCGACGACCTGGACTGCGTCACTCTTCTGCAAGACAAGACGAGCGAGACCTGCATCATCCTCCACCAGCACCTCCGATCCGCACCTTTGCCCTCCTCTTTGCGTTGCTCTCTCTTTATACTTTCGTTCTCAACCATAGGCAAAATCCTACGCGTCCAACCTAAGCCTCTTTCGATTCATCTTGGTTCCGCCCGCCGCCCCCAACGAAACGAGCTCTCTCTCGGTCTCTCTATCTCCGCCCTGCACCACATCGCAGCCAGCTTTACCCCAAAACCTCCCACCAACATCCCCATTTCCGATCCCACCATATTTCCATCCTCCCTTCCGGGCCAGCCAAGGGATCCGATCATCAGTCTCACCCGCCACCATCCGCACCTGCAACCGTCTGCGCGTCGATTTCTTGAACACTCGCGATCGGCCAACCGCACTAGCTAGCTAAACTGCACATTTCCGTCGGCAACTGTAACCGCGAAGGCGCCGAAACTCTGCTGTCCCAAAGCCGAGTGTTACCTCTCCACACCCACGAACCTACACCCCCAAGCACCGTTGATCGACGACATGGCGCACTCGGATTGTAGGAAACGGAGATAAACGTGCGGGATACCATAGAGATCTGGGTCTTTTCCAGGTACGGCCGACCTGGCCTCTGCGTCTCCATTTCAACTACATGGTCTTCTTTCTCCGTGTACTATTCGCATTCACGCTACTTGCGCTGGAAATGTTGGGAAGCTGACGTTGTCTTAATGGTGGTGGTGATACAGATACCGAAGCGAGCCACCGATCGCCCGAGTCGTTCTGCCGACTCACTATGGCTCTGCTCAATCCGACCTTCCTCTTCGGCGTCGTCGTCCTCCTCTACCTGTCCTCCTTTATACTCTTCGCCGTCATTCGAATCCTCACCGGCGTATCGATCCAGCGAATCGGCTACTTTTCCCTCCGGAGACTCGCCTACACCCCACGAGATGGATTCAAGATTGAGGTACGCGGCCTCGGGCTCAACGTCCACCGCCCAACATTTGCCCAGCCCACCTGGCTGAGCGTCGTCATCAGCGAGCTCACCGTCACGGTCGACATCCGCGAACTGGACGGCAAGAAGGGCGAGGACAGCTCAACCGATTCCGACAGCAGCACCGACGCGGAGGAAGAGCCGGAGGTGCCGGCCGCAGAACAACAGCCCAAGGTGCCACTCATACGTCGAAATGGCGGACCCCCGCCCCGGAGCGAGACATGGAAGCACTTGATGAAGCTCAAGGACCGGATGAAGAGGGCGCACCGCAAGCTCAACTGGCTGCGGATGGTAGACGTCGTCGCCACAAACTCCACGATTAAGGTCGTCGACGTCGGCGACGTCCAGTTTGGAAGCTTGACCGTCGCCGTCGACACTCGGCGCAAGATGGTGGACCGCGCTCGCTTCTTCTTTCAGGCTCGCAACGACAAGAACAAGCAGAAGCAGCGGCAGGCGGAGTGGATCATGACACTGCGCAGTGTCCTGTTCACGCCCGAGGGCAAGGAGTCCCTCGAGATTCTCGACAATGCGACGCTGAATATCCATGGATTCTTATACGAGGCGCTGGATGGCCTGCGGGACGCTGCGATTGCCCTCAAGCTGGGCCGTGTTCATATACCCTACGACGACGTGCGCGTGTGCGCCGATCGCTTCAAGCAGTGCAAGTTGGCCGCGCGCTCGTCCACCCTGTCCGACGAGCCAGCCGACGTTTTCATGGACAAGGTCATACACGAGGTCGCCCAGCCCGGCAGCACCAACCAGGATCTAATTCAGACCGTGTCCGATTCCAAGGAGTTTGTCAGTTCCATCTTGAGGGGCGTTAAGGAGGTCCAGTTTGCAGTCAGTTTTGTTGGCATGACCAAGAGGGTGGAGTCCGTCAAACCTAGTGCCAAGCCCGTCTTGTTGAATGCGTCGATGAAGGAAGTTGGTATAGACTTGCACCGTTTGGACCCCAAGTCACCGTCACATAGGATGTACTTCCCGTCCAAGGACATCGCCCACGAGGCTCTCGCCGCGGCCCTGTCCATCTCCGTCGGTGTCGACGACGGCGACGGGAAACCCGAGAGGCTGCTTTACATCCCCATGGCGACAACTACTGTCAAGACGACGCTGCCGTCCAAGACGGTCGAGATGGCGCAGGATGTGGGAGCCGAGGAGAGAAACGCAAACATACTGTTCGCTAATTCCGTAGTAACTTCCCCCTCGGTGGATCTCGACCCTCGCCATCTGCCGCTCCTCGTCGCCATGCTGAAGCCAAAGTCCTCCAAGAGGTCACGATCTAGCCGTCAACCGCGGCATGTGCTCATATCACGACTCCTGCCCAAGGCTAATATCAAGTTCACCATGCACGAGCCCGTTCTCCGAGTCGCCTTGCCCGCAGTCGACCAGCACGCGGCAGCCGACGACTTTGATCTCATCATATCCTCCATTTCGTCAATATCACTCGACATGGAATCGTTCCATTCCACGGTGGAGGATTTGCACTACTCGCTCGCGTCAACCATGAGGATCCAGTCGCACGAACTGTACTATCAGACGTCATCGAGTAACCGATTCGACTTGATCCAGACCGAGTCCTTCGAGCTTAAGGTGCAACTCAGTGCTACGCCAGACGTCCATGTCGTTGCCTCGAGCAATCTGCAGACCTTCTCGATCAAGATGGTGCGCCCCGAGATCACCGACGGTCTCAGACAGATCGTGCGACAGCTGAGGCTAAACGTCGAGCCTGAGAAGCGTTCAAATTCACACACGTCCACCAAGAAGCAAAACTTCCTTCGCGCAATGCCATCTTGGTTGTTGCAGTTTCAACTCCAAGCATCAGACTTCAGCATTGAAATTGCGGGCATTGACGAAGACATCTCGGACGATACCCGCGGGGTGTCCCTCCAGCTCGACGAATTTTCCGCAGAGTACCGCGCGCAAAGACTCGAGGGGCTTCAACGGCGGCCATCGCGGCGTAGGGCTAATAGCCGTACAGTGGCCCCTGACTCGGACCTGCTCAAAAGTCCAATCTCACCACCGCCGAGGAAGAAGC